CGGATGGATGGATGGATGCATGGGTGGGTGGGTGGATGAATGGATGGAAGGATGGATGGACGGACGGATGGAAGGACAATGGGTAGATGGACAGGTGGGTGGGTGGGTAGATGGATAAATGATCACAAGACCTAGACTATTTAAAATACTGAATATTAACAGGAGAGTAAATGGCATACGCCCTACCTTCTGAACGTCAGCATCATGCTTCTGCTGAAGGTTAAGCTTTTCCTCATGACATTTAGCTTCTATCATTTTGATTTTCATGTCCAACTTTAAGAAAAATATTTTCAAGGTGTTAATAATTTGCTTTTCCCTTTGGCAAAAATACATGATTAAATTAAAATAACTCCTATATGAAAGAGCATAGCATTTTCCACTTTTTCCCCGCAGCCAAAGGTCTGGAAATCACACAAATCTACCAATGTTGGTTATATTCCTTGATCACTTCCAAACTAATTAAAAATCTTTCAAATAAATTTCACTTGATAGGTAAAACTGACACTACTAAACATGGATTCATCAATTATCCCCACACCACCCCAAGAAAGTTTTTTTAAAGTGACATTTTACCTGTATTTTGGCATTTATTGTTTTCTACTTGAGGAAGTCTCTATTCAACCATTTTAATTGTGTTTTTCTTATATCCAGTGCTCCTTTAAATACACCTTTCACCTATGCAATAGTTGGAGATGACCGTCCACTGGGGAGGGGGAAGGGACAGGCGAACAACCCTCAAATCATTACCTTGTTCTAAAACACACCCACTGTGGTCAACTCTGGTTCCCTAAAGATCTCTTTTAATTTTTTTAATCAATTAAGGCTCCTACATTTTTTAGACCCACTAGGCAGCTTGCATTTTATCTCAGTAATAGTTACCTAATAGATTTTTTAATCCCGATCAAGAGTTCTGGTGAGAATTTGCTGTGAAGCATTTCTACTTTCACCATAAAGTACCATTCTTTCCCGTTTATTTTTAATCCCGAGCGTTTCGGGGCGTGTCCCATACTTCCACTCCCTCCCATCCCTTTACAATGTGTCTCTGTCCTTATTAAAACTCGGTCTCAAAGGTCACAGTGTGACATCATTTTCATTTTCCACCCAAAGGTCCTCTGACCTCCACACCGGGTAAACGCCGGCCTCCCATCTTCAGCCAGGAGCTTTCTTCCCTGCCCGTGGCAGGCGCTCGCCCCGTCCCCCGCTCACCCCGGGAAGGTTTCTCTCCCTCCCTTGCCTCTCCCAGTCCTTCTTCCGCTCCCTGAAGGCCGAGTGTCCCAGACTGAGTCCCTCGGGCACCCTCACCATCCTCACCACGTGCGAGCATCTGCCCGGGGGGTTTTATCAGGATCTGGCTCTGAGGGCCCGGGGAGATGAGTCACACTTCTCCGTTTGCGGGCCTCCTGTCTCCTTGCTGCAGCCGCCTCCACACAGCCCGGGCGGGACGATGCTCTCGCACACGGCATTCGACCATCAGGAACACACAGCGCCTACTGAGGACCAGTTAAGGCCCTGCCTGGACCCCTCCTCGCCCTCGCCCTCAGCATCCAACGAGTCACCCGGCTCGCCCCAGCGAGGGCCGCCAGGCCCTGGAGCTCCAGGTGCACCCCCAGCTGTTCAGCAGCCTCAGAGCAGCCCTCCCGCCAACCTTCCGCCCTCCTCCATCTCGGACACTGCGGCCCAGTCACCTCTCTACAGCGCAGCTGAGATGCTGTCATTCCCCGTCAAGCCAGTAGCTCCCTGGGCCTGGGGTTGGCAGCAACACCCATTTCTGACTCTGCCACACTCTTGCGTTTCTTTCCCTGCCCTGGACGCCAGCCACGTGGCCTGTGGGCCCCAGCTAAGCATGCACCCGGTTCCTTGCTTCCACACCTCCTCTCCTCTGCCTATTAAGATCTCACATGATTCGATCCCTGGGTCAAATGCCACTTCCTCCAGGCCGTCCTCCTCAAGCTCCCCAGACAAAAGCAACCCTTCCTTCCCCAGTACACCTCACAACACTTCTCAGTCGATGCTGCACCACAGCTGGTTTGCACAGTACTTTCTTTCCTTCCTTCCTGCAATGGAGACAACTCCACAGGAATGAAAGGCGAGTGTGACAACCATTTGATGGACGGCCCATTGCCAAAGCAAAGGCTGAAGCTGGATAGTTCCCCTTTTACAGGCATTCCCACAAGCTATTTTTGAGGGAATTTCTGAAATTTCTACTTAGAAAGACTTTAGGAAATGTTATTTACCAAGTCCACTGGGCCCCCTTTTCTCAGAAGTTTGCACTTCAAAGAACAGCTCTGAGGATGGACATTCCTGCCGAATGAACACAGCTGGTGAGTATGCCCACTTACTTATTATAAAGGCATTTCCTTGGGTTTAAAAATATCCAACTAACAGGATAACTAGTTAAATTTTAGGATAATTACCAATGTCATTTTACTCGACTGAATATCACTAACCTTAAATTAAGGGTTTTTTGGGATCACTTAATCTATTCACTCAGGTATCTGACACTCACTCCTGCAGAAAAATAGATTTCTTATTCAAAATGCTACTTTTTGCTATTAACAGTTTTGCATGTGTAAATTGTGTTTAACATTTGATACTGAAGTTAGCAGAAAACAAAATATAATGGCATGATAACCATTAATGAGTTTGTAAGGGACAAAATGTATTAAAATGAATTAGGTGGGCATCGTCTACACATTTTAAATCCCAAGGAAGTCCTTTTCACATTATTACAAAGCTTAATGTTGACCAACGGCCTCCATCTTCCCAAAAGGAACACAATGTACCCAAAACAAGATTTATTCTGATGTAGAGAGGAACTACAAACTGTGAGCTTTTTGATAAGGTATACAATGCAGCCACTGTAATTCTACTGAAATTTTTTGTTTGCCTTTATTTACTGTAACCACATAGCAGTTGAACTGCAAGGTGGAAAACATTACTGATGTCAACCATCTGCACTGCCCAGCAGTTTCCAAAGCATTATCAGCAACACCACGGAATGATGTCTTCGCTTAGTCACCCTTCCTTTCGACATCTCAACAATCATCATGGCGAACTGCCAGGAAACGATTCATAAAATAATCATCACTTTACTCACTCAGATACCTAATTGTTACGATCATCTTTTGAGAATTCTGTGAGTTACAGGAGGAAATTATCGTATGAGAGTAATTAAGATTCCCCGATTAGTATCTCCAGTGTATCCTATGCTGAAAATGTTAATCTGTAATATCTCATGCTGCCAATTGTTATTCACCCTGCTTATTTATAAACACAGTGCAAAAAAACAAGATTCCTATCTCTCATTATCTTATCCCTGGGGCTGAGAGACGGACGGAATCTCCCTAAACAGTGATTCCTAATCTCCTAGAGCTCATCACAGTAAGGCAATAAGTGATTTAACATACATGGTGCATGCTGGTATTTTTTTCTAATTTTTAAACTTTGTCATACATCATGTACACAGATAATTTATGTGAAACAAACGGAATTCAATTATGTCATTTTTACTTATTTTGTTTAGCTTCTCTGCACTGGTTGGTGTGCCTTCCCTTTTTTATTTAAATCTGCCCCCGTTCCCCATTTCTCCCCACATCACACCTGCACGGTGTACCCCATAAAAACCACCTAGTCTATCTTCATGTCATCTGCCATTCTCGCAGAGTCACATACAAATGGGAACAAGTATATATAACGGTGTGGGGGTTGGTGGCACACTGCTAGTGTCCCCAGAGATCTATGTCCCTGTTCTTTCTTTGGGGCCCAATGGCCACCAGCAAATATGGGCAGGGCACATGGCTGTATCATGACCATGTAACTAGGTATAGTCAAGGGGGATGATAGGATAGAAATGATTCAGGCAACTTGGGACATTTAAAAAAATTAAGTGGCTTTCTCCCTGTGCTGCCCTTCTTTCTGAAGGATGGCACTTGAAGATAAGGTACAACCAACCCTTCAGACCCAGACATTGAAGCCATTTGCTGAGGATGGTGGAACTTACCAACTAGCCCAGGTCCCCAGTGACATCACTGAGCACAGCACTCCCTACACCCCCTGGGTTGTTATATGAGAGGTAAATAAATTCTCTTCTTCAAACCACTATACCCTTAGCAATACATAGTTTTTTACTGTGAATATCTCGCATGCAAAAAATAAATTTCTGCATCTTTCTTTCTCTCTGAACACTACCTCATGGAACTCTCTCAAAAAATACCTGCTCTAGTTTTATTCATTCTTTTTCATTGCTATCAATTATTTCTTAATGAGAAAACAAAATTTATTCAACCATTCCCCTTAATGAATATTCACTTTGTGTTCAGTGCTTTTCCACTACAAGTAAAGCCACAAAAAATATTGTCACACATGCATCCTACACACTGGGCTTTGATTTCTACAGGATGGGCTCTCGGAAGACATGTAAATCAGTCAATGGTGGATATGCCTGCATGACTCGGCCGCTGTGAAAGGGAGACTCGAATTTCTGTAAGAAGATCAGATATCTCATTACTACTTAATTTGCATTTCCCTGAACACTACAGTGTCTCAGCTCTTTTTCAGGTGTTTTGGGGGCCATATGATATGTTTTTCTGTGAAATGCCCTTTCACAATGTGATCCATGTTTTGTCTGTCTATTGGTAAGACCTCCTGGTATGTTGTACACATGAACAGACAATCTGTCCCAAACATTTTCCCCAAATCTATTATTTTTTATTGATTTTGTTATATATTTAACCATACAAAATCTTTTATTGCACTTGGTGAAATATTTCTATCATTTTCTTTATAGTTCCTGGATTTGGAAAGGTTTGAGAGTCAGGAAGGTCTTCTAATTCCTAGATTTTTTTTTGTGTGTGTGTGCAAGATTTTTGTGTTGTTTCAAAACTTTTTGATTGGGCATTTGTAGGTTAAGCTTTTAGTACATCCAGAGTTCATGCTTGTTTTTGTGTTTAGAGGATGAAGACCAAGTTTTATTTTCTCCAGATAAATTTAAGTTTATACCAGAATCATTTATTAAATGTCTTTTCTTAATGAATTAATAATAAGCTTTGTTATTAAATTTTTATTCTTACTGGGATTTATTTCTTGTAATGTCTTTTTGGTTTTGGTGTCAGGGTCTCCCTCATAAAATGAGTCAAGAAGCATTCCCCCTCTATTATCTCAAAGAATCTCTGAATACAGGAATTGGTCTATCTTAAATGCTCCCTTACATAAATACATAGTTGTAAAGGGAAGGGGTATTTTAACACCATTTCTAAGTAACTGTAGCTATTCTT